TATACTTTTTTATAATTTTATGAATTATTGAAGTGTAAAGCAATAATGTAAAAAATTTAATTAAATATTTATTATTAAAATTAATGTAAAAATTTCTTATTAAAAATTTATTATTAAAATTAACATTTTTAAAGTGTTTTAAAATATACTTCCATATAGGCTAAAATTTAATCACTTACTAAATAAGCTTTTCTACAAATCGGGCCTAACAATTGCTAATATTTATCACAAAAGCCCTATCACGGAGTAGCTCTTAATTGCATGGGCCAGCCACCAGCGGACATTTCCAAGTCCAAAGGCCAAAACTTTGCCATCCTCAAGTTCCAACAAAACCATGTTCTTGTCAAGTTCCGATTGCAGCGCTCAATCCTAGAGAGGCCGAAATGATAAATTTACACACACACTGTAATCTCCGTCTAAAATGTAACACTGTGAAAAATGTGCAAAGCTTTGGGATCTTGAAACAGGATATTATTGGCCATGGTGTAAGCATTCTAGCTGCAGGTCCAGTTTCTATGGAAAATAAAACAACTAATACAAAGTCAACATTTAACATGATTTCTGGCACTTCCATGTCCAGCCCTCAGCTAATTGGGATGGCTGGTTTACTCGAAAGCTGCCATCCAGATTGGTCTCCAGCTGCTATAAAATCTGCTATCATGGCTACAGTTACCTTGGTAAATCTTGGAGGGAAGCCAATTGTTGACCAAGCAGACACTCCTGCTGATATCTAATTTGCAACTGGTGCTGCAGGTCATGTTAACCCATCAAAAGCAAACAAACCTGACCTTATCTATCATGCCAACCGGATGATTACATCCCTTATTTATATGCCTTGAATTACTCTGACGACGAGGTAATTAGAACTATAGTGCAAAAAACTGTGAACTATCCTTCATTTTCTATAGTATTACCGAAGTATGGTTCTCAGACACAGACGAGAACAGTGACAAACGTTGGCCCGCAAAGCTCATCCTACACCTATGAAGCCGTTGCACCAGTAGGAGATATAGATGTTAGTGTAAAACCGAATCAGATTGCTTTTACAGCGGTGAACCAGAAGGCAACTTACTCGGTGACATTTACCAGACAAATGAACATCAGCTTGCAATTTTCCCAAGGACGTCTCAAGTGGATTCCTGCTCAGCATAATGTTACAAGCCCAATTGCTGTCATACTTGAGTAAGGAATAGGTCGAGCAGATTGTGCTTTATAGGAAGGAAGCACAGACCTAATCAATCCCATGCATGGGCAACTCATACAAAAGCTTGTTAGTAGTTATTATTTGGTTCACAATCGTCCATCATTTTAACGAGTTTTTCTTCAAGAAATGTTAATTGAAACAAAGAACTGATTGATTAAGCATCATTATTATCACCCCATCCATTCTTTCGAGTTCAAATTTTTTAAGTGTCTACTTTTTGAGTTCAGATTAATAACTCAACCTACAGCAACCTTGTTTTCCATTTTTGCAATTTGAGTTAAAAGAGAAAGAGGATCAAGGAAAAAATTTTCCTTTCCTGTGTGAATCCTAGGGACATAGCTATTGTTTTTAGTAAGAAAATTATTATTATTATTATTATTATCAATTTATTCATTGTAGATTTTATGAATTTATTTACTAGATAAACCAAGAAATCTCAAGCACACGCTATATTCACTTGTGGGTACTTTTAAGTTTTGATTGCTGCCTGAATTGAAAAGGAATAAACTAAAAAGCTGAAATTAGATATTTAGACCATAAGACATTTCAGCAAAAATGAACCGAAAGATACGTACCCAAAAAAATATTAATCAGAACATGCAGAACAGTTGCTCACAGTTTCAACTTCCAATCTGGTTGTTTAAGGTTTAAGTAAACAAAAAAGAGAGGAATTTGGGATATAAATCAAATGATCCACTTCATTTAAAAACTGAATTCTCCTAAGATTGAATTTGATTCCTATTACTTGTATAATTTCTCTTATATTATCTCTTAAACTACAGTCTCCTTGTACCCAAAAAAACTAACAAAGGAGAGATTGTAAAGTATGATTTTCTTCTTCATTTTCTTTTGTTGTGGGGAAGGGGGGATAGGCATGCATAGAACTTAATCCAGCAAACAGCCCAACAAAAACTAAACGACACCTATCCATGCAGGATTTTTATGTTGGAAGAAGTAGTGAGTAAATATTTAATTAACAGCTAAATTATTTCAGCTAAGGCCAAGTCAAAATACCATGGATTGGCAGAGACTTTTGTAGTTTTGCTCACAATCTGCTCACATGAAGCCCGGAGGTATATTAGTTACAACACAGATTCTAAATCTGGTAATAGACGCAGGAAAGAAGCTGTAATAATACATCTAGGATTGCATGCCCATATCTGTTCGCGCCTATATGCGGGAATATTATCAGCAACGGTCTCAAAAATAAAACAAACGGAAACTATGCAATGACTCAGTCGAGCTAACTGGAATGTCATTAAAAAATTGTAGATAGACAAGCGTACAAAGACAAGTATTCGACATCATAACCTTAAACAAACACTCAAAAAAGGCATCTCTATTGCCGTTTAAACTATGATTATAGAAGGCATTATTGTACAAATACAAATGAATGGGCTAGCTATAATGTTCCAACAGCAGATCTTAATCTACACTGAGACTCGCATAAAGAAACCGGCCATCTTTCTCCCTCTCACTTGTATATATTGGCAGGGTTAGAAGTGGTGGAAGCTCAAAAACTAAATCTACCTCTCCAACTTACTAGAGAGGATCCATTTCCCACCAAAGATGGATATCACTCAGTTCCTTTGTCTCATTTTCTTGCTCAATGTCCATTCTCTGATCGTTCAAGGAAGTGAATTTTCATCTGCAAATGAAATTGAAAAGAAAAAGTTGCAGACTTACATTGTCCATGTTAAGCAGCCCGATGCAGGAGTTCTTGGACAATCAGACAATCTTGATGTAGACAGATGGCACAGATCTTTTCTGCCATCCACTACTGCAAGCTTAGATACACGACCACGGATGGTTTATTCATACAAAAAAGTCATCAGTGGTTTCGCAGCAAGACTGACAGAGGAGGAAGTGCAAGCCATGAGAAGGAAAAAAGGGTTTATTTCAGCACGTCCTCAGAGGATACTACGTACACAGACAACACACACACCACGCTTCTTGGGGCTGCAGCAGGATCGAGGAATTTGGAAAGAATCAAACTTTGGAAAAGGTGTGATAATTGGCGTGTTGGACACTGGAGTTTTGCCTAGCCATCCTTCATTCAGTGATGAAGGAATGCCACCTCCCCCAGCAAAATGGAAAGGAAGATGTGAATTTACAGCCTGTAATAACAAAATAATTGGTGCAAGGTCCTTCAATATTGATGGAAATATGACTGGGGGAATGGGGGTTGAACCACCTATTGATGAAGATGGACATGGGACTCACACAGCTAGCACTGCTGCAGGTCGGTTTGTAAACGATGCTGATGTGCTGGGAAATGCCATAGGTACCGCTGCAGGGATGGCACCACTTGCTCACCTGGCAATTTATAAAGTATGCTTTGGAGATGACTGTGGAGATAGCAACATACTAGCTGGGCTCGATGCTGCTATCGAGGATGGTGTTGATGTGCTTTCACTCTCTATCGGAGGAGATGCAGTTCCGTTATTCCAGGACAACATAGCTGTCGCTGGATTTGCAGCCATGACAAATGGAATATTTGTTAGTTGCGCAGCTGGAAATTCTGGCCCTTCCAAGACCACATTATCCAATGAAGCCCCATGGCTTCTCACAGTCGGAGCAAGCACAGTTGATCGAAAAATTTTAGCCATAGCAAAGCTTGGAAATGGAGAAGAATTTGATGGAGAATCCGTTTTCCAACCAAATCACTTTCCTTCCACGCTGTTACCACTTGTTTATGCCGGCATGAATGGTAAACAAGAGTCTGCACTCTGTAGCGAGGGATCATTGAAAGATATAGATGTCAAAGGCAAGGTGGTTTTATGTGAAAGAGGAGGTGGAATAGGAAGAGTTGCCAAAGGACAGGAAGTGAAAAATGCTGGTGGTGCTGCCATGATTCTCGTGAATGATGAAGCTAATGGCTTCAGTGTTGAAGCTGATGCTCATGTTCTTCCAGCAACCCATGTAAGCTTTGCAGCTGGGTTGAAGATAAAAACTTACATAAATTCAACAGCAGCGCCTACAGCGACAATCTTATTTAGAGGAACCATCATAGGAGATCCGTCGGCTCCCTCTGTTGCTTCCTTTTCGTCAAGAGGGCCCAGCTTGGCGAGCCCAGGCATTCTGAAACCAGACATTATTGGCCCAGGTGTGAACATTCTGGCAGCATGGCCATTCCCTCTTAACAATGATACGAATTCAAAATCCACCTTCAATATAGTATCTGGCACATCGATGTCATGCCCTCATCTCAGTGGTATTGCAGCCTTGCTCAAGAGCTCTCATCCTACCTGGTCACCAGCTGCCATTAAATCTGCTATGATGACTTCTACCGACCTATTAAATATTGGAGGCAAACCCATTGTTGATGAAAAGCTCCAAACTGCTGATGTCTTTGCTACCGGCGCTGGCCATGTTAATCCATCTAGGGCAAATAATCCAGGATTAATTTATGATATCCAACCTGATGATTATATTCCGTATCTTTGTGGTTTGGGCTACACAGATGCGGAAGTTGGGATACTTGCACATAGATCAGTCAAGTGCTCAGAAAAGCCAACCATACCAGAAGGAGAGCTGAACTATCCTTCATTTTCTGTCAAACTAGGGCCTTCTCAGACGTTCACAAGGACCGTGACAAATGTTGGTGAGGCAAATTCGTCCTATGAAGTTACAATTACAGCTCCAAAAGGGGTTGATGTAATTGTGAAGCCTAGTACACTATGCTTCTCGGAGCTATACCAGAAGGCAACCTACTCAATAACATTTACTCGAGTTGAATCACCTTTTACAATAGGTGAATTCACTCAAGGGTTTATCAAATGGGTCTCTGCTAACCACTTTGTTAGGAGCCCTATTGCAGTAAGGTTTCAGTAAGAAACATGTGCACAAGGACATAAGAGCAAGCAATCAAATTATGTATTGTAATAGAAATCCAGAACTAGTACTGGCTACTATCTCGGACATGTAGTATCTTATTTCTCTATGTTTTCTTCAATAACATTGCAAATTATTTGAACCTGATTGCCAGAAAATTCAAACTCCATCCAATGAAAGGGGAAAGAAGCATGTGGGAATTATACTAGGCATAGACATTGAATACCTTTGTTTTTCTAATTTATAAATCAGCAACACTTACGATGAAATTAAGAAAAAAAAAAAGTAATAGCAATAATAATGTTCAACAGAAGACCAACAGGAACAAACGTGAAAAGTAGAGTAATAAAACCATAAAAAAAATGGTAATTCCACCTGCCAAAGAAGTCCATACAGAGTGCATATTATAAAATAGTAGCACTGCTTTATAAAAAAATAAAATAACAGTGAAAGTAAGCCTGTTTGTTGCTTAAATCAAGAAAATTTTCTAAAAAAAAAAAAAAAAAGAGAGAGAGAAGTACAAAATTGCACAACATTGTAAGCATCACAAGTGCGGACAAAGTTTTAGACACTTGTTCTAAAAAGGAGGTACGGAAGGCTTAACTTTTCACATCCCTACCTCATGCATTTTTAAAAGGAGAAAAAAATCAGTGGTTAGTTACAATGAAAGTAGACTGCAACTGCAGCTAGGCACTAGTGAAGGCCAACAATTGACAATAAGAATGGTTATTTTATAAAAAGCCTCTTACAGATATTAGTAATCACTTCACTTGCATATTCTCAAGAATGCTATGATAAGTTATTCACGATCAAACCAAGAAGAGAGGCATAAGAAAAACTCATTAAAGAAAGAATATAGCATCTGGTTATCAAACATAGCAGATACGGGGCTCCCTCCCTGACTGCCACAGAAAGAAGAGCCTTTTAGAGCAGAAAAAAGGTACACTGTCTCAGTAGTTCATTACTGACCCATTCAATGTATAGTCTCTGCCACATTACAGCTGCAAGATGGAAGTGCAAAATGACTCGCCAGTTGTCCCTCATCAACCAAATCCAGGAGGCACATCAGGGTCCTCATCACTGGCATCACATGGTTGCTTCTGGTCAACATCTTCAGAAAAACCAGGTGGCACACTAACATCAACATCATCTTGGTCCTGTCCATGCTGTGAATGGTGGAGCTCTTCCTTCCAGTTTTCCACGGGTTCATTATCATAAGGCCTAGGAAGCTGCCACTTTACCTCGTACTGCTGCCGATGGTGGTTGCTGCGATGATTATTTGACAGAGAGAAACCCGGTGGTTCTTTTGGATCACCATCAGATAATGTATCATCAACTCTACCAGCTGAGGCCTTAATGGAACCATTATTCTCAGCTTCCTTTTCAACAGGCATCATATCATTCATGGATGATTCACCCTTTTCTTTCTCTAGAGGATTAGCTATTTTATCGTATACAGATAGTACAGTTTCTGTAATTTCACTTCTCATGCCACCTTCCGATCTGATTATTTCCCATAGACTATCAGAAATTTGGCCCATCACTTTGTTCCTAATGGTTATAAAATATTAGAATGATCAAATTAACATCAATATTATTGAATAAATGAAAATCAAAGTTGGTGAAGTAGACTTGAAGATTAAGTGAACATTCTAACATACTGTTGAATAGCAAACAAAGTTAATCTGTTCTTCCTGAGTTTATATTTTTCTCATTAAGTACTCCCAATTTATCCTGACATCCAAATCTTATTCCCAAGTCCAAAGATTTTAGCAACCAAATTTCTCATACTAAACATAGCATAAAGAAAGAGGCAAACATTTTATGCAGGAACAAACATGATTTCCACTAAGAAAGCCAATAAGGATTCTTAATGTTCACATTCTTTATTTTTATAAAAGAACCTTATATATAAAGTCATTTAGAAATTTGACAAGAGGAGGCACTTACCCAATCTCATCATGAATGGCATCTGATAGTTGTCTTAGTTTCATGTTTTCAGCACCTGGACGGTTAAGTGCTGCTGACTGCTTCACAGCTGCAATGATGTTGTTGCGTAATTCTTCCTGCAATTTATTGCCTTATTCAGAAGAACTTATAAATACCCATGGTTAGAAAATTACTATATGATTCACATACATTTATGGAAACAAAAACATGAAGGTTGCATTTGACATGTTATTAAGTTGATACGTTTCTTTAAATCCATTAGGAGTGGAAGCAATTATATTCTACATGGATCCAGCTGGACAACTGCTTGCATCTAAACAAGTTTAATCAAACAGAGCTCTTTATTTCCATATAGCAAGCAATAATAATAATAAAAAAAAAAGCACCACTCACTGTTAATCAAGTTGATAAAGAAATTCTAAAACATAACCAGCCAAAACCTTAGCTATAAATTCATAGAAAATCAAGCACCATATGATCCTTTAAGACCAAAAAGGAATGTTTTTCAAAAACAAAGACTGATTGAGACAATACACAAGAATCAGATTTGTCAATATTTCTGCAGCAGCAAAGCAGGTTAATCAACTTGCAGAGTGCCATTGAAGTGTTTAGCACATATAATAAATCACACTAATCTATTTCTTCACGAAAAGCTGTTTGGAACAGACTAGAACCTACAAGAATCAAGCTTTACAATCATAACAGCTAATGTAATGTAGAATTTTTGTTGAAGAAAAAATTTTCCAGTCATCTTTCATTCAACATCGGGAAATTGTATAGCATCAACCCAAAATCATAGCCTTGAATTTGAAATTAACCAATTATACCCATTCATAAGCATCATACTAAATTGCAGCAAAATATCCAAAACTCAAAATCAAGACAAAACCCACACAAGCACCCATGTTTTCCAGGGTACCCAAAAGTTCAGCATTCTAAAATTTTTAAATTAATTCAAAAAAAAAAAAAACCCACAAACAAGATAGTTTTAACCTTAGGAAAAGAAAAAAAGAGAATGATTTTGAATGATATCAGCATACGTTTTCCTTGAGCTTGCGGATGATTTTGAGACGGAGCTTGTCGAAGTCACCATCGTCCTTGAGTTTTGCAATTACCTCTTCTTTGGTAATCTTCTTGTTTTCTTCTCCCATTGCTTCTTCGCATTCAATCTGTTGGAGATATAAAAACCTGGGTTTTTTTTTTTTTACTTGTTTTATGGTATTTTAACTGTCAACGGAGACAACGTTGGAGTACGAAAACTTTATTTTGTGCGTGGCTTCCTACACGGAACAAGGTTGTCAAATCTATTCCGGATTGCATTCAAGGACAGTCGTCGAGCCAAGAAAATTAATTTAGAGCATTAAAAGCTTTGTTTAAATCACAAAATAATAATATTTTATTTTGTTTAATCATCGAATTCTGTGACATCTGAAGCTTTTTATAAAATTAACTAAACATTTTAATACTATTATTTTCTCTGTTTCCAATCGAAAATATAGATTTTATAATGCAAGTTTAAGATTCTTTTTATATTAAAGTCTGATGGTTTTAATAGTTTGTTAAAACATAAAAAATTAAATTACAATTTAATTGATTCATATAATCTCTTATGATAATTTATAAATTTAATATTTAAATTGTAATACATAATTTCCTAAATTTCTATTTCTTTATTAAAAAAACCTTAAAAAAACATCATAATTCAATTGATAAAGAAAACCTTTGAGGATTAAAAAATGCAAGTTAATTCCAGAAGACCATTGACCAGCTAAGCAGGCAGTAGAACTGTAGAACTATCTAAATCGTCTATTCTTTCTCTATTATATATATATATATATATAAGGAGCAAAATGTTAAGTAGTTGAAATTTGAAAACGAGTTGGTAAACGCTACGATCAGTTCATAGAATAGAGTATACAAATGTGTACAAGATGACGACACTGTGTCTGAATTGTATCTCAACTATCGGGATTGGAAGAACAAATTTGCTTCACTCAATGACCACCTTGCGGCCAATTTGAGCCCCACCGGACGAAAGCCAACAGGAAAAAAAACCATGCATCTCTCAGCGCTGGAGCTGGAAACAATATAGGACGAGTTATGTTTCCCCTTGCGAGAATGGCGACGGTCAGTTACCAAACTTGAGTTTCTGCAAAAGTCATCAAGCTAAATGAGTAAAGATGCATAAAATCAAATTCAAATATTCAGTACCAAATCCGAATTACTCACGAATCATCACCATGGTTTCTACTTGTTGACTCCTGTATTGTGTGATATGGTGCAGTCATCTACCAAGGAAACACTAATACATTAAAAAACATTGCATGAGGTTCGATATATATATATATATAATATATATATATATGCCACACTGCAAGGCCAAGTCCCAGCTCCGAACTGGAGTGCTGACAAATATCAGTTCATCCACACATTGGATTTTATTTTCCCATTGGTTTCTTTTTTATGGTCTTAGAAATAAGTTCAGAATTAAAAAACTTAAAGTCCAATAAGAGAAACATGCAAATATTCCTATAGGCAATAGAGGGTAGAGGTTGCAGGCCAGACCTCCTAGTATGAAAGAATGTCCAAAAGTATATATTTACTTTTCATACAGAGATGAGCAGGTCGTCTACCTAATAGAACTTCAGAACTCTAATGCAATCAATCGAACTTCCAATCAATAGGACCCAACATCTTGCCTGGTGCAATCAGCAGGTGATAACACGATCATATTCATAAGCAACTTATTATTGGATTATTGACACATTTTACTGACCCCCATTCAACTAACCATATTAAAGTAATAATCATTTGCTGGTTCTGTCATGGGCTTCCAGGTATTCTTCATACGTCTACAACAAAAATCAGGAGTAAGACAATAACATGAAAGATTCAAACATAAGCAACCAGGACTACTCTGCCAGAGAGAGAGAGAGGGATGTTCCTTTTTTCTTTTTTTTTTTTCCTTTTGGTGATAAAACAGCAGAAAACACAGAGCTTTGTCTACGGGCAGATTATGCACAGCCAAAATATGAATAAGGTGTGCTAATCCTTATGTCCACAGTTGATTAAGGATAAACAGCAAATGGAGCACATGAAAGATGTTGCAGGATTCACTATGCTAAATTCTTACTAGTCCAGAAACAGAAGTTAAGTGGGAATTTATGGTTTAGGGGCTCTTAGTTGAAATAGTATCCTGATAAATCTAGCTTCTCTGATGAGCATGACTGCAAGGAAAGTATCTGCTTAGGATAAAAACACATAAATTAAACTGCATTGGAATATAAAGCTCAGATAGGGTCCCAATAGCATTTCAAGAAAATCATCCTCGGTCAAGGTACTAGCAGAAGGGCTTTCTGCAGATAAACCCCAAACATCAAATTGAGTAGACATATCATGATTTACTTGTAGATTGGTGAGATTTCTGTTGATACTATAATTTTTTGTACTTGCAACTTTTGATGCTCCCATGGTAGTAGGAAAATATTCAGTAGCCAAAGTATGTGGATGTGTTAAATGAAAGCTACTTGGGCCAGCTTGATGTTGATGGAAAAAGGGATGATAAGAGATGGGTGTACCAGCCCAAGATACACTCAATGGAGGCACATTATAATCTTCATCTCCCAAAGAATATGGAGGTTCCAGGCAAGCCCTCTTTAAAGGTAAATCATCCCTGGTAAAAATTCACGAAATTCAACAAGGCTCATAAGCTCAATTTAATAGAAAAAACAACTTCAAGATACCTTTTCAGTGAGGCATCCACATCAGTACTCCCATCAAGGAGCTCACAAAGACTTGTAATTCCTACAAAGAAACATGTATGAAATTCTTAGTGTGCAAGGGATGGATGCTTAACTTTCTTTTCCAAAATGAAAAAGGAGAAACAATAGCAATTAATATAAGTTGCCAAATAACTGGAAAATTCTGTACACTACAAGCACTTGGAAAACAGTGAAAGGACAACTCATGGACTGCACTTTAACACACAAATGTTTACTTCATCAGTCACTTCATCATAGTAAAAAGTATTTATAGAGAGAGAACTCAGTGCTAATGCCTCTATAAACTTAGATTGATTATAATAGAAGTACAGAACTTTGCTCATCAGAAGTTCAGAACTGATTTCCACAAAAAAAAAAAAAGATTTAATAGTTTCATTACTGTTGGCAAGATATAAAATCCGAAGTACTGTATCACAAAGTCAAGTGAACGAGTTACAATGAAGTTAGATCTCTATCCTGCTTGTATCTTGTTTTTTAGGTCAAAGTTAATGTCTTGTTTAATGTCTTATCAGTATACAACCATCAGCCAATCCAAACTCACATGCAGGGAAAAAAAAAGTTATGATCAAACAGCTATGATGCAACTAATAATGCAAATAGAGGAGAAACATCGAGTTTTATTATAATCATTTCATGCATTAGGTGGCTACAAAATTTACACTTCTGCAAACCTGATAAACATCAACTGCTGTCATTGTCCGTGTCAAGGATAACAAGGTTGTTCATGTTTCTTGCACTAAAGTGTACTGTAGATGGATATACTTATTAATAGCACAATAGCGCTTGCAAATTATATGAGTCCCAAAAAACCATGAGTTTGTTCTAAGCAAGTTAAAGGGGAGAGGGAAATCATAAAACTTAGTCAATAATCAGACTCTTTTTTTTCTTAAATAATTCTAGTTACAACCACAATCATGCTCAACACAAGATGCAAGCTTACATATGGGGAAGACAAATTCTCATCAATCAAGGTAATTAAAATGCAACAAAACATATAACAATGTGTTAACCAAAAAGAATATGCACCATAATTTTACCTGGATCATCTAAATTTCCCAAGTCATTTTTCCATTTGGCCTCATATCAGAATGCAGATATAGGTAAAGATTCAAATTGGTCTCTGCAGCAGTTCAACGCAACTGTAGTCAAAAAAAGAAAAATACAGCAAAATATTTAGCAAACTCATTCAAAATGGACAGGGCTCCAGTATAAGAAATCTTATAGAAAAACCAGATATAATTCGGAAGCTCCGTTCCAATTTCAAAAAACACTAGCATTAGTAAATTACAAAGCTGCACCGAAACAGATAACAGCACAATTAAAACATTATTATCGTATAGAAAAGCAATTGAGTAACAAAAAGTATGATACCATATGTTAGGGTTACACTAATAAGTAAATATATATTCTTCTGTTCATTCTATTTATTGAGTTTTCACATGAACATTTTTTAAAATATATTTAATTTTCTTTCGTCGTCCATTTAACATGCCATTAGGGCCAATCGCGTAACAAATGAATTCCTCATGAAAGAATAAATTAACTGATATTAAGATAAATTACGGCCAATTCCTTACTAATGTAAATATTAATATCAACATACAATAAAAATAAAGTTTCAGAAAAAGAATTAAAAAGTAATTATCCAAAGGAATTCCTCCCGTTTTCATTCTACTACTTTTGTTTCTCAGCAACCAAGCAGAACATAAAACGAAGAAAAGAAATTTTAAGTAGAAAGAAGTAAAAGAGCCTACCTGTTTTAGAGAGAGAGGACAAAACCAAACAATAGAAAGGTACCGAGTAATTGTCTTTGAGTTGAGGCAAATAGCAATGAGCCCCAATTTTCCTTTTTTTTTTTTTTTCAATTTTCCTTTCCCTGAATTCAACCTTCCAAATTAGACACTGTTTGGATACGGGTTTTTTTCCCCAGTTGCGAATCGTCGATCGAGCGGTTTTTGATTGGTTAGGGGGTCTGTTGAAGGTGAAAAACCTACGGTGATGCGTGCGTCTAAGAATCAGCCATGAAAAAATCTCTATAAATTTTTGGGCTTAGAACATAATGATTATTGCCATTGGGCATGTCCAGTTTGAGTTTCATTCCATATATCAAACATAATTTTTTTTTATTTATTTTTTTTAATTTAATGATTAAAAGATCGATTTAAAATCATATAGACATAAGTTTTATCTCGTTATCCCTCTCTCCCTTATAAAGGCATTAGTTCTCCTTCGTAACAAAAAAAAATAATTTTTTTAAATTATAAATCTAAAATCTAAAAATTAAAAAAAATAACATAATCAGATTTTTTTTAATAAATAAGTATTTTTATTTTAAAAGAAAATTGTCATTTTCCCATTATTAATATTAAAAAAGATTTTTTTTCTCATGTATATTTTAATAAATAAAAAGGAATAACGCGCTATTCAAATTAAATCTTGTTCTAAAGTCCACTTTTTATATACACATTGATATATCACACTTCAAATAATTTAATAAAAAAGATAGATAATTGGTAACTTAAAATGAGAGATTAAGTATTTTTTATGATAAAAATCACTATTGCTGCCTAATTGATGTCCTTGATTAATTAATACTTCTATTAAGTCTATTGCCAAGATAGCCTGATGCTAATATTTGTTTTACAATATGCTTATAACCCTTAATATTCTTATGGTACTAACATATTTAAAATAATTTTATCTTTACCCCATCAATAAAATTTTTAATCATATCAATTTATTTTATAAATTACTCCTTGTCTCAATTAAATTATCACATTTTGATTTTTTAATCAAAATTTTAAACTTTGATATCCTATTATTTTATATTTATTATTGATAAAAATATATAAAATATATATTTTAAAAATTTTGAATGAATTAAATTTTAAATATATGGTTTATATATTTTAAATAATCTAAATATTTATAATAGTAACGAGCAAAGTACAACAAAATTGTGATAATTTAATTCAGGGAGAAATATATTAATTTATTTTTGAAGGCTGCCTCAAACCCGGCCCGAGTTGGAATGCAATGAAGGGTCCAAAGAGTGAACGACAAAAGCCAACCAACAATAAAAGCAATGACAGCAACGGATAAGACAAAGTTCTGCCGTTTGATCCACCAACCCTTTGCAATATCACCAATGTCTAACAAAGAAACCCAAGTCTCATCAGAAGAGCTACCTATAGTCCTCGTTCATCGTCTACCATCATTCAAGTTGCCTTCCAAGCCTTCTTTCAATGACCATTTACTTTTCTGACTTCCATCTCCTGGACCCTCATGACTCGCCTGAGCCTTATGACTCCTTTATGTCCCGTCACGCTCCCTCCATCAGGGCTCTCATCATTGTTGCCCCACCCCAATTACCGCCGAGTTTCTCAAGCTTCTGCCTTGTTTGGAGCTTATAGTGGGAACTAGTGCTGGTCTTGATCATATAGACCTCCCGGCTTGTTGGAGCCGAGGCATCACTGTTACTGATTCTGGCCTTTGCCTTCTCAAGGATGTGGCCGGATTGTGCTGTTGGGTTGTTGATTGATGTTCTTAGAAGAATTTCTGCTGCTGACAGATTTGTCGTGCCGGATGTGCCTGTTAAGAAAGAGTACCCTCTTGGTTTAAGGTAAATGATTTCTTTTCTTAGTTACTGCTTCTTTTGATATGGTTTTCTTTGAATAACAGATGGTACTATAGTATAAATCGTGGAATAAGTATAAACGATGTCGAATTGATGGGTGAAAGCGATTCTTACTTGAGGTTGCTAAACTGATAATGTCTTGTCATGGAAATGGAAATTTGACTTGTTCCAAAGTGATTACTGTAAGGGCTGATTATGGGGAAGAATTGTTTGTCTCTAGGTGAAGTCTGCTATGGTCAAAAGCTATTCAGATTATAGCACCAAGACTAAATCCACATAAGTCAAGGAATCCAGTTGAGGAATTTTAAGATCTTTACTTACGACTTTGATCTTTGCTGATTGCCTGAACGTAGTTGAATCAAACCTTTGACATTTTAAGGCTCATACTTATAGGATAAGTAACAATTGAAGCAGCTACTACTGATACAGAAATCAATTTACATATGTGATTGAGTTTATTGAAAAAAGAAGCAATGATATGAAACTCTTTGCTATTGCTGGTATGTTAGATCTTCCTTGTTACTAGCACAAACAACTGGAGGGGGTGTCTCCCCAGGGAAATCGAACTCGTGGACTTTAAAAAGGCTAACTTTGTCATTAACTTAGGATCAGAGTGTATTGTTTGGAGCTGTATGAGCACCTTTTGATGCGTAAGGTCTAACAAATTAAGGGTGAGAGGAGGGGGGGGGGGGGGGGGACGACGTGTAAATGCCAACCTTCTGTAGTTTTTTTTCATTGCTGACCATGTATAACTTCAGGGGCCTTTTTTCTTTGTTTTTCCTTTTGCTGACCAAAAGCTCAAATAGAAAACTAAACTCAACAGTATGATGCCAAGACACTTCGAGTAAGTCATTCAATATATTGCAAGAGATTAATTCCATTCAGGGGACATCAAAAAGTTGGAAGGGACTTTTTATTCATTATTTAACGAACAATGAACATTGGCCGATCTTTGGTGGTGTATGATTGACTAAAAATATTTAATAATATTTACATAAATATAATTGGATTGATCAAATCTAATTAAAAACTCTCTTTCTTGATCAAAAATGGGCTTTTCTTTTGGGTTTATTGTGTAATGCAAGCTTAGATCCTCTTCACAATGGGTATCTGCAATGAACTCAGAGTCGCATGAAACATGATATGACGTTGGTGCAATATATTATGCAATGCTATACTTTATGATCTTTTGGAAAAATGTTGATTCAAATGCCTTATTCTTCATAACAATTTATAACTAGCATTTAGAGCCTTCTGTCTAATACTCTAATGTATAGCATTCTAAAACAGCTCTGGCTTGGCCAAAAAATGGAAACTGCATTAACTACCAAAATCTATCCTCATTTTGATCAGAATTGAGCAGGACTGCTGTTTCCTGTGCTTTTCTGTTTCATCATGAGCATGACTCTTACATTTCAACAAAGGCATTAGATTATCCTATTTGGTCCTTATAAAATTACTGTTCCAAACTTCCAATTGCAGTTAGGAGGAAAGCAAGTTGGGATTGTGGGCCTGGGAAGCATTGGTTCTGAAGTTGCAAAGAGGCTTTCAGCCTTTCGCTGCAGCATTGCCTACACCTCAAGGAAGAAGAAGCAATCTGTTCCATTTCCATTCTATGCTAATGTCTGCGACCTTGCAGCAAACAGTGATGTTCTCATACTTTGTTGTGCACTTACAGAGGAAACTTACCACATTATCACGAAGGATGTCATGGTAGCATTAGGAAAGACAGGAGTGATAATCAATGTTGGGCGTGGCTCTCTTATTGATGAGAAGGAATTAGTGCAGTGTTTGGTGCGAGGAGAAATTGATGGTGCAGGTCTTGATGTGTTTGAAAATGAGCCTAATGTGCCAAAGGAGCTATTTGGACTTGATAATGTTGTGTTGTCTCCACATTGCGCTGTCATGACTCCACAATCCTTTGAAGCATTGCTCCAGTTGATTAGTGCTAACTTAAAAGCCTTCTTTTCAAACAAACCTTTGTTATCAGTAGTCTCAAATGAATGAACCATTCATTCTTTTGCTGTAACTGTAAGGCCAATCTTTGCATCTTTTGAACTTTAATATTCCAATAAATGCTTCGCGAAGATCTTTTATCATTTGGTTAAATGTCAAATGTACCAAAAAACAAGATGGTTCATACAATATTAAAACAGAGGTTCTCTAGCAAAACTATTTTGTTCTTTGTGAATTTTGTTTTCTTGGTTAAAACTCTGTTACGGTGTGCTTACCATAGTAAAACAGAACACTGAATGACCCCTCTAAACTGGAGTAAACTCGTGTAACTTAGCATTCTTTAGGGCAGCCATGGCCATTGACCTGCCACCATTTTATGGGGTGTTATGAAAGGCAGCAATCATTTTAAATATGATAAGGGAACGGCGGTTATCTACCAAAGATGAAATGACAGTGATACTATAGTTGATGCTCTTAGTATGATATTATTTCTAATCTAACAAGTATCTAACTTTTTATAATTTTATATTCACGGTGAGTTTTTTTATTTGCAGTAAATTGATTTTAAGTTAAATGCTTAACATAATATTAAAATAAAAAATTTTTCTGCTGTTTTTTTTAAATTTATCGCGTGATATGCTTCTTTTATATTTACTTACATGTGATAGAGATCTATTAATAAAATATTATCCCATATCTAATAAATATTTAATTTTTTAAAATTTTATAATCAAATTTAATCTTTTTATTTACAGTTGATTTTAAGTTGAATGCTTAATAAAATTACTTTCTAGAGGTTTTTCAAAGCATTAAATTGCTAATTTGGTAGAGTGGACTAGTAGAGTTTGACAAGATCAAAAGGTGCATAGATTGTGTTGCGCACTAGTTAGCTTTACAGGAAAATCAAGATGCTTCACTACTCTGCCATGTGATTGATACTTTTGTTTACCTTCTCAAATGGTGGAGTAGTTGCTTGGCGTAGGCTAAGCAGAGCTGTTGTTTTTGTCTGCCATTTCCCTTCTGTTTCCCATTCTGGTCTTTTTGTATAGAACTCCCATTGACCCCTAACGTTAAAAAAGAAATGTTTGCTCCAGGAATGGAGTATCAATTTCAAGTGAATCCCGGGAGTACTCCATTGTTGGAATTTTCCACATAGATATGGATTGTGGAATTACTTTGGCTTGTCCAAAAATACTTTTTGTTTCTTATTTGCTTGTTTAGCTTTTATGGCATCTCATTGGACCACTGAAGCACCATTTTGGTCATGCTTTTATGCTACATGATGCATGTATCATCGGGAACTAATTTGAGTTGCCTTTTAAGCAGGAACGGATCTACAATGGCAGCTATCCCCACTAAGATTTTAGTATCCCTTAAAAATTATTACAAAATTTTTTAAAATTTTAATTCTTTTATAATTTGCCCCCACTAAAAATGACAAAGAATAAAATATATATGACACTTCTATAAATGTTTAAAAGAACAAAACTATAATTACAATATA